TCTGTTGAGAAGTCTGATGTTAGCCTGATTGGTTTTCCTTTATAGGTGACCTTTTTCTCTCTAGCTGCCTTTAAAACTCTTTCCTTGTCCTTGATCCTTGCCATTTTAATTATTATGTGTCTTGGTGTTGTCCTCCTTGGATCCTTTCTGTTGTGGGTATCTGTGTTATTCCATGGTCTGTTCGATTATTTCCTCTCCCAGTTTGGGGAAGTTTTCAGCAATTATTTCTTCAAAGAGACTTTCTATCCCTTTTCCTCTTTCTTCTTCTTCTGGTACCCCTATAATAAGAATATTATTCATTCTGTATTGGTCTCATAGTTCTGTTAGTATTGTTTCATTCCTGAAGATCCTTTTATCTCTCTCTATGTCAGCTTCTATATGTTCCTGTTCTTTGGTTTCTATTCCTTCAATGACCTCTTGCATCTTATCCATTCTGCTTATAAATCCTTCCAGGGATTGTTTCACTTCTTGATCTCCTTCCTGACATCTGTGGTCTCCCTCCGGACTTCATCCCATTGCTCTTGCATTTTTCTCTGCATCTCATCCCATTGCTCTTGCATTTTTCTCTGCATCTCTGTCAGCATGTTCATGATTTTTATTTTGAATTCTTTTTCAGGAGGACTGGTTAGATCTGTCTCCTCTCAGTTGTTGTCTCTGTGATCTTTGTCTGCCTGTAGTTTTGCCTTTTCATGGTGATATAGATAGTTAGCAAAGCTGGTACGAGTGACCGCTGGAAGAGCTTCCCTTCTTGTTGGTTTGTGGCCTTTCTCTCCCCCTTTGCAAGGTGCTGGGTTCTTGCAGGTGTGGATGTGGTCTGGATGTTGTCCTGTGTCCTCTGGTCTCTATTTTAGGAAGAGTTTTCTTTGTTATATTTTCATAGATCTATGTGTTTTTGGGAGGAGATTTCAACTGCTCTACTCACGCCGCCATCTTGGCTCCACCTGCTGTTTCATTTTTGTGATCTCCTTTGTGGCATCTGTGATCTCTCTCCAGACTTCATCCCATTTCTCTTGTGTATTTCTCTGCATCTCTGTCAGCATGTTTATGATTTTTATTTTGAATCCTTTGTCATGAAGACTGGTTAGGTCTGTCTCCTTCTCTGGTGTCTCTGTGATCTTGGTTTGCCTGTAATTTTGTGTTTTCATGGTGATAGGAATAGTTTGCAGAGCTGGGACTAGTATTGGCTGGAAGAACTTCCCTTCTTGTTGGTTTGTGGCCTTCCTCTCCTGGGAGAATAGCGACTTCTAGTGGCTTGTGCTGTGTAGCTGTGCGCAGTCTGGGCTTCTGCTTCCTGCCTGGCTGCTATGGAGTTTATCTCTTCTGTTGTTGTGCGCTTGGCCTGGCTCGGGCTGCTGCTCCAAAGTGGTGGAGTTGCATTGGAAGGGGAGCTGCCGGTAGGCTATTTATCTCTGTAAGGTGCCTCTGTGCTCCCTGTAGCCCAGGGGAATACAGTGTCCAGAGATCCCGGGATTCCCTACCTGTGGACTAAGTGTCCTGCCCTGCCCCTTTAAAGTTTCCAAGAAGCACCCGCCAAAACAAAACAACCACAAAAAAAAAAAAATGGCCGCTCGTTTTTCTTTATTCTCCAGCACCAGCCTTGGGCACCTGCTCACCGGACTTGCTGCCCTGTTTCCCTAGTATTGGGTTCCCTATCCCTTTAAGACTTCCAAAAAGCACTCGCCAAACAATACAACAACAAAAAAAAAGAAAAAAGAAAAAAAGGTGGCCACTCGCGTTTCTTTTGTTCTCTGGCGCCGGTCTCCGATACCCGCTCGCCAGTCTTGCTGCCCTGTTTCCCTAGTATTGGGGACCCTGTCCCTTTAAGACTTCCAAAAAACAGTCACCACAACAAAACAACAACAACAAAAAAGATGGACTCTCGCTTTTCTTTTGTCCTCCGGCACCGGCCTCCAGTACCCACTCACCATTCTTCCTGCCCTGTTTCCCTAGTATCCAGGGCCCCACGCATGTACTGTGTCTGCGCTCTGGTCCAGATGTCTGGGGCTGGGTGCTCAGCAGTCCTGGGCTCCTTCTCTCTCCCGCTCAGACCTCTCTACTCCCGCTGGCAGTTGGGGGGAGGGTCGCTCAGGACCCGCCGGGCCGGGGCTTGTATCTTACCCCCTTTGTGAGGCGCTGGTTTATCGCAGGTGTGGATGTGGTCTGGATGTTGTCCTGTGTCCTCTGGTCTCTATTTTAGGAAGAGTTGTCTTTGTTATATTTTCATAGATATATGTGGTTTTGGGAGCAGATTTCTGCTGCTCTACTCACACCACCATCCTGGCTCCCTGCTGTATTTTAATCTTATATATTGTTTTGGGAAGAGGTTTCTGCCTTGCTTCTCACACCACCATCTATTTTTCCCTACATAATCTTTTATATAATGCTTAATCAAAAATTCAAAAATAAAATTTTAAATATAAGAAATGTTAATTATTAATATGTAACTAAACCATGTGTAATTTGGTTTATTTCACTTCTTATATCCATAGTCTGAATTAAGAGTGCTTGTCTCCTCAATTTTTTTAAATTTAATGATATATAATTGACATATAATGTTATATTAATTTCATGTATACAACTTAATGTTTCAGTATATTTGTGTGTATTGTGAAATGATTACTGCAGTAAGTCTAGTTAACATCCATCACTACATAGTTGAAAATTTTTTTCCTTGTGATGAGATTTTATGATCTCTTTTAGCAACTTTCAAACATGCAATCCAGTGGTATTAACTGTAGTCATTATGCTGCAGATTATATCTCCAGGACTTATTTATCTTATAAGTGGAAGTTTCTACCTTTTGAGCACCTTTAATCATTTCATCCCAACCTAACCCTTACCTCTGGCAACCACCAATCTCTTATCTGTGTCTGTGACTTCAGTTTTTAGGTTTTCTTGTTTCACATTCCCCATATAATGAGATCAAACAATATTTGTCTTTCTCTGGCTTACTTCACTGAGCTTAATGTCCTCAAGGTCCAACCATGTTGTCACAAATGGCTAGATTTCATTCTTTTCTAATGACTGAATATCCATTGTGAATATATATTTTCATTTCTTAGTTTTACATATATATATATATATATATCACATTTTCTTTATTCATTTATCTATCAGTGGACACTTAGGTTGCTGCCATTTCTTGGCTATTGTAAATAAAATAATGGTGCAATGAACATTCCAGTACATATGTATTTTCAAGTTAGTGTTTTCATTTTCTTCAGATCAATACCCAGAAGTATAATTGCTGGGTTATATGATAATTCTATTTTTAGTTTTTTAATGAACTTCCGTACTGTTTTCCATAGTAGTTGTACAAGTTTATAGTCCCACCAAGAACACAGAAGATTTCCCTTTATTCTACATCATCACCAATGCTTATTTTCTGTACTTTTGATAGTAGTCTTTCTAATAGCTATGAAGTGATATCTCATGTGCTTTTGATTTGCATTTCCTGATGGTGAGCAACTTTTTATGCCTGTTGACCTTCTGGGTGTCTTCTTTGACAAATACCTATTCAAATCCTCTGCTAATTTTTATTGGATTTTTTTTTTACTATTATGTTGTATGAGATATTTATATATTTTAGATATAAGCCTATTGCCAGATACAGGCATACCTCAGAGATATTGAGGGTTCAGTTCCACACTACTGCATTAAAGTGAATATGACAATAAAGCAAGCCAAACAAAGTATTTTGTTTCTCGCTGCATATAAAAGTTATGTTTGCACTATACTGTAGTCTATGAAACATGTAAGAGAATTAAGACTAAAAAACAATGAACTTTTTATGTTGTATTTATATTAATATAAAGTTATATGTACAATGTACATTCCTTAATTTAAAAATGCTATTTTGCGTAAAAAATGCTTTTTTCTGATCTTCCAGTAAATCATAATCACTGATCACAGATCACCATAACAAGTATAATAAAAAGTTTGAAATATTGTGAGAATTACAAAAATTTGATACACAGACACAAAGTGAGCATATGCTGATAGAAGAATGGTACCAATAGACTTGATATGTGCAGTGTTGCCACAAATCTTCCGTTTGTAAAAAATATAGTATCTGTTAAGTGTAATAAAGTGAAATGTAATAAAACAAGGTATTCCTATACATGACTTTCAAATATTTTCTCCCATTCAGTAGGTTGCCTTTTCACTTTGGTACAGAAGCTTTTGGTTTAATGTAGTCCTATTTATTTATGTTTTCTTTTGGTGTCAGAGTAAAAATATCATCACCAAAACCTACATCAAGAAGTTCAACACCTATGCTTTTTCCTAGGGGTTTTGTAGTTTCAGGTCTTAGATTCAAGTCTTTAGTTCATTTGAGTTAATTTTTGTTTAAGGTGTAAGATAATGGTCTGTTTTCATTCTTTTGTGGCTTTCCTGTTTTCCCATCACCATTGAAGAAACTGTCCTTTTCCCAGTGTATATGTCTGGCTCCTTTGCCATAAATCAATTGACCACGTATGCATGGGTATATTTCTGAATTTTCTCTTCTGTTCCTTTGATCTATTGTCTGTTTTTATGCCAATACCATTTGTAATATAATTTCAAATCAGGGAACAAGATGCCTCCAGCTATTTTCTTCTTTCTCAAGATTAATTTCAGTGTCTATTCAGGGTCTTTTTTTTGGTTCCATATAAATTGTGGTATTTTTATTCTATTGTGAAAAATGGCATTGGAATTTTGATAGGAATTGCTTTGGATGTGTAGGCTGTTTTGTGTAGTATGAATATTTTAACAATATTATTCCATGTAATCCATGGAATATATATATATATAATGATAGCTTTTTCCAGATACACAATGTAGTATGTTTTTACCTCAGTTATCATTTGGACAATTAGAAATTCTGTTTTTGTTTCTTAGTAAGACATACCTTTCTTGGGGAAATGTTGAATTTAGAGATATTTAGTGTTTTTCCATATTCCATGAAACTTAAGGAAAATAAATTTGTTTCCAAAGTGTTATTATTATTAATAATATTTCAGATAAAGAGTCTACCAGATTCCAAATTTTGGAGTGCATTGAAGAAACTAAAACTTCTATATCTTCATGACAATGGATTTGCAAAGTTAAAGAATGTGTGTATGTTATCTGCTTGTCCAAGCCTCATTGCCCTCACTATGTTTGATTGCCCAGTAAGCCTCAAAAAAGGATATAGACATGTTCTTGTCAATAGTATATGGCCTCTCAAAGCTCTGGATCATCATGTGATTTCTGATGAAGAAATAATTCAGAACTGGCATCTTCCTGAAAGATTCAAAACATGTAACCACCGACTTTTCTTTAATTTCTGTCCTGCTTTGAAAAAGGTAATTGGCTTCATTAGAGTTTCATTTTAAATAAATTTATAGAAGTAAAATTTTAGCTTTTAAGGTCTATAAGTAAATTATACATATTAATATTTTACATCATTTACATGAAATATAAACTAGTGAATATATTAATAATATATATCTGAAAATTTATAAAAGCTTCTTGCCTACTGTGTAAAAGTTATTGAACATAAAAACATCACATTACACAGAAACAAATCTTTGTTTATTTGTGTTTTTTTTGGTCCCCACTATGACTTAGAAGCTTTAAGAAGGTATAGCTTACATACTATAAAATTAATCAATTTTACATGCATGATTCAATGATTTTAGTAAATCAACAGTGGTGTATAGCCATCTTCACAATCCAAAGTTAGAAATTTCCACAACTCTAAAAGTTGCCCTCATTACCAGTTGCAGTGAATCTCCAATTCTAGGTAGCAAGTGATCTGTTTTCTTTCGCTATAAATTTGCTCTTCTGAGCATTTTATGTAAATGGAATTACAGGAAATGTAGTTTCTTGCATCTGCCTTCATTCACAGTGTTATCTCCTTAAAGTTCATTCCATGTTATTGTTTATATCAATAATTTTTTCCTTTGATTGCTGTATAATATTCTGTTATATGAATAACATGCATTTTCTTTGTCCAGTAACCAGGTGGTAGACATTTGTATTATTTTTAGTTTTTGCTATTATGAATATTGCCATTATGAAAACCTACTTATATGTCTTTGTACAGATGTATGTTTTCATTTCTCTTGGGTAGATTCTTAGGAGGGCAAATTGCTGGAATGTATGGTAAGTTTATGCTTAAATTTTCAAGAAACTGAATTACTTTCAAAAAAATGGAAACAAGTGATGCATGAGGGTTCCAGTTTCTTATGTCCTTGCAAATGATTTGTATTTTATCTAGGTGTAAAGTGATATTTCATTGTGGTTTTTATTTGTATTTCCCTAATGAGGAATGAGGATAATTATCTGCTTATTATCTTTGTATATCTTCTTTAGTCAAGTGTCTGTGCAGATTTTTTTGGCCATTTTAAAAGTGGGTTGATTGTCTTAACTTTTGAGTTGTAAGAGTAGATATCTTAGACATAAATATTTTATCAGATATATGAATTGCAAACATTTTCCTCCTATAGATTGTCTTATCTTCTTAGTAGTCTATCTTTTTTATTCATTCATCTACTGATGAACACTTAGGTTACTTCCATATCTTGGCTATTGTAAATAGTGCTGCAATAAAAAGAGGGGTGCACATGTCTTTTTGAAACTGACAAATTATATTCTTAGGGTAAAGTCCTAGGATTGAATTCCTGGGTCAAATCGTATTTCATTTTTAGTTTTTGAGGAACCTCCATATTGCTTTCCACAATGGTTGAACTAGCTTACATTCCCACCAGCAGTGTAAGAGGGATCCCCTTTCTCCACATCCTTGCCAGCATTTGTTTTTCTTAGTCTTTTCGATACTGGCCATCCTAACTGGTGTGAGGTGATTTCTCATTGTGGTTTTTATTTGCATTTCCCTGATAATTAGTGATATGGAGCATCTTTTCATGTGCCTGTCTGCCATCTGAAATTCTTCTTTGGAGAATTGTCTGTTCATATCCTACATCCATTTTTTATCGGGTTGTTTGCTTTTTGGGTGTTGAGGCAGGTGAGTTCTTTATATATTTTGGATGTTAACCCCTTGTTGGATATGTCATTTACAAATATATTCTCCCATAATGTAGGATGCCTTTTTGTTTTGTGAATGGTGTCCTTTGCTGTACAGTAGCTTTTTAGTTTGATATAGTCCCATGTGTTCATTTTTGCTTTTGTTTCCCTTGCTCTAGGAGATGCATTCAGGAAGAAGTTGCTCATGTTTATATTCAGAAGAACTATGCCTATGTTTTCTTCTAAGAGTTTTATGGTTTCATGACTTACATTCAGGTCTTTGATCCATTTTGAGTTTACTTTTACATATGGGGATAGACAATAATCCAGTATTATTCCCTTGCATGTAGCTGTCTAGTTTTGCCAACAACAGCTGTTGAAGAGGCTGTCATTTCCCCATTGTATAATCATGACTCCTTTATCATGTATTAATTGGCCATGTATGCTTGGGTTTATATCTTGGCTCTCTAGTCTGTTCCATTGGTCTATGAGTCTGTACTTGTGCCAGTACCAACTCGTCTTGATTACTGTGGCTTTGTAGTAGAGCTTGAAGTCGGGGAGCATAATCCCCCTAGCTTTATTGTTCCTTCTCAGGATTACTTTGTCTATTCAGGGTCTTTTGTGGTTCCATATGAATTTTAGAACTATTTTCTCTAGTTCATTGAAGAATGCAATTAGTATTTTGATAGGGATTGCACTGAATCTGTAGATTGCTTAAGGCAGGATAGCCATTTTGACAATATTAATTCTTCCTATCCATTAGCATGGAATGTGTTTCCATTTATTCATATCTTCTTTCATTTCCCTCATGAGTGTCTTGTAGTTTTCATAGCGTAAGTCTTTCATTTCCTTGCTTAAGTTTATTCCTAGGTATTTTATTCTTTTTGGTGCATTTGTGAATGGAATTGTTTTTCTGATTTTGATTTCTGCTAGTTCATCATTAGTATATAGGAATACAACAGATTTATGTATATTAATTTTGTATTATGCAACTTTGCTGAATTCAGATATTAGACCTAGTAGTTTTGGAGTGGATTCTTTAGCATTTTTTATGTACAATGTTATGTCATCTGCAAACCGTGACAGTTTAACAATTTCTTTACCAATCTGGGAGACTTTTATTTATTTGTGTTGTCTGATTGCCATGGCAAAGGCATCCAGAACTATGTTGAATAAAAGTGGTGAGAGTGGACATCCTTGTCTTGTTCCCGATCTGAAAGGAAAAGTTTTCAACTTCTCACTTTTTTTTTTTTATTGAAGGGTAGTTGACACACAGTATTACATTAGTTTCAGGTGTACAACACAGTGATTTAACATTTATATACATGATAATTCTAGGTACCAGCTATCACCATACCAAGTTGTTACAATATTTTGACTATATTCCTTATGCTATACATTATATCCCAGTTACTTATTTATTT